ATGTCGAAATTATCCATATTCATAATTTTAAATGTTTTAAATAATTCAGTTAGTCCTTTAGTCAAAGCACTTTTTAACTGAATTTCTTTAATTTCATACTGTCTTTTAAAAATGAATAAATTCTACATGCTAATAACAATAATATATCACATGATCACAGTGCTAGTAATAAAGATAGAATTTCTATCACTTGTAACAGTTTTAATTTATTAGTTTCTCAAATGAATTTTTATTTTTATTTTAGACATAAACAATAAAAAAATCATCTCTACATTTACTATCTTAATTGAGTACATATAAATTCATTTGATGAAAAATCTATAAACATAATACAATTGATAAATTAATGTCAACATTGTATCGACATTAAAAATATTACAAGAAAAATTGATTATTACAATTATGATTACTAATCTTTCAAAACTTCTTTATAGTTGGCCGTCAATTGAAATTAGCATCACCCAACTGCATGCCAATTCAATATAAATTATTGGAATGCCATTTTGGCAATCCAAATACTACTCCTTCACATATCTTTATTGCAAGATCTGTACCATGTGCTAAATTACTGAATCGTGCCGGTAGAGTCAATGACAAGAATGTTTAGATGTATCATCCATCTCTCCAGCGACTTGGATTCCAAGAATCCCAAATTCATTTTTATCAGGATTGTAACAGCCCTTATGCACATGGGCCAACTTCACCTTATCGTTCTCTTTTTTGCTCACGTAGTAGGCCAACACTCCAAAACTATAAATGTCTAATTCTATTGTGTATGATTCACTTGGTGCTATAGTATTAACATAATTTTTGAACTAAAAAAAAAGCAATATTTCAGTAATAATAACAATAATAAATGATAATGATATTTAAGAAAAAATCTGATACAAGTAACGTAATAAAAATCTATTTTTACCTCTTTAATTAATATTAGTTCGTTAGAAATATTTTGTGAATTATTTATTTTTTTTAATGTAACAAATCTATCTCCACAAACTCTCTTATCAGTTTTATATTTATAATCATTTATCCAATTAGCCTTGCATATAGTTGTAAAACCACCTTCGTCTATCTTTTCAATATCTTTCAGATCATAAGGGACCCGTTGAAGACATAAATAACTTTCATATACTTTTGCTTCAAGTTGTATACTTTTAATTATTCCATCCATTTTTCCATTCCTACTGGTCCATACTTCATTTAATAACTTCGGGTCGCATGATTGGCACCGTGAATAATCAGTATTATACTTCATTTATACTTATTACAAGTTAAACATCTCTGAAAAAAAAATTTTTGTTACACGAACTATTTAAAAAAAAATTTCAAGTTTTTGTTCAAGATTGATGTTGGAATTAGAATCACGTTTTACAGTAATGATTTCGATGTGAAATGTTTTTATGCTTTTAATACTTGGATAGCAGGATTATCATATAAAAGGCAAAAGATGCAAAAGAATGATTTATCAAAAGTCGTATGGAGATATTTGACACAACATCGTCAAAGGATGAAAATTAACATCCAGGAATGAATTATCGTAAGTTGGGGACCAAAGAAAAAGGTGTTTAGGAAAGATGTTCGTAAAATCTTCAAGGGTTGCTACCTTGTGATATTCATCTGCAATAACAACAACCATTGCAACCATTCACAATATTTTTAACAAAATCTTACATTGGAATATAATCTTGGAAACAATTTGTATGTTGATATTGATTCACCTTCACCATCTTTGCTTTCAATATCACTGCCACCATTAACCATTAAATACTGATAATCATGCTTCTATTGCTATTGCGAAAGCTATATAAATACTACTGCATGTGCAATGACAACAGCACTACGTCTCAACCATCGGGAAAAAATACGCAAATTGCGCGTTTAATATTGGTTTAATCTGCATAATAGATAAAATAAACGATAATACACTTATTCTAGACAATTGTAGTAGAGATTAAACATTTATTACATTTACTGATATATTAATTTTACACATCGTGTAAATATTTTCGTAATGCGTTAGATAAAGAATTCAATTAGGAGCAGAGATAGTGGAGATCAAATTTAACTTGCCAAACAAGTAGTACCAAGTGAACTGTTCAAAGGAATCTTAGTTAAAAAGAAAAGTGCCATTGATAAAATGGAAATGAACAATCAGTAAAAGGAATGAAGTTACTGATAAATGGAAACAAATTATTAAAAATAGTAATAACAGTCAAAATATAATAATTATTATTATAACAATGGGGGAGAAACATACAGCAGGAAATATCCAGACCTGAAAGACGAGAAATCTGATCAAGCCTTTTCATTAATACAAAACTTAATGTGTTAAAGTGGATATTAAATTTAAAATATATTTTGCCAATAATATGGAATTTGCTTTGTCATCAGCATTATTGAAATAAATAAATAAACAATTTTTTGTTGTACCATGTCTTATCAAACCAATTCATACATCTTCTTTTTGAAAATCGTCTGGCCAATACTAATTAGTAATTGTAAAATTTATCAATTGATTGATAGTATTTTGATCAGAGACTTTCATTATTACGATTTCCTATACACGTGAATTACATCACAGAATAAATTATAACAAAAAACAGCGTTTATTTTAATTTATTTATTATTTTATTTTTTTTTGATATGTTTATTAGACAAGTGTATCGTAAGGGATTGGTGTAATAGTAGTTGGTATATTCTTCTTGGTTGAGACGTGACGTGAAGTTCTTGGAAGTACAGGTTGTCTCTTTAAATTTACTTTTTCTATAAAAAAAATAATTTTAATTTGAACATGCAATTAATTAATTTTGTAAGCGTAAAATTCTATATACATATGTAATCAAATTTATACAAACCTCCTTTAGCTCTAGCATCTTTCTTTTTAATTGCATTTTCTTTAACACGACGTAAGAAATCATCTCTACATTTTGAATGTTTTACATGTTCGATACGAACATTGATTCTCTTCTCAATGTATCTATTACCAACACGCTTATAAATGATGACACCAACTGAAGATTTCGTCACATTATAAACAATTCCTGTACGTCTTTATTATTATAATAATTATTATCACATGCCACATAAAAAAGATTTAATGATTAGATTGGAAAAAAAAAGATAATTGAAAATAATAAAATAAATGTGTAATTGATTGATTGATTGATTGACCCTTACCCGTGATAAAATTTATGCGGCATACCTTTTTGAATTGCACCGTTTGCTTTAACATCTACGATATCGCCAACTTTATATATTTTAAGATAGGTTGAAAGCTTAAGATATCCATGATCTTTAAATTTACGAGAGAACATATACCGTGTGCGAGCACGGATACCATATGAGTGAGGCATTTCTTCAAATCTAACAAATAAATAATTGAGAGAAAATGAATTAAAAATTAAACTTTCGTGGATTATATAAATATAGAATTGAATTCTTTTTTTACCTTTTTTTTTAATTTTTTAATTCAATAATTTTTTTGTGTGGATTAAAATTTAATTGGTTAAATTAAAAAAAAAATCTAAAAAAATCTAAAATCTTGGTTATTAATTCTACAATAATATAATAATAATTTTATAAAAATGCCAGGAGCTCCAATTAATTGTACTTGTTTAATTTTTTCTAATTGAATAAATCTTAATTTATATATTCAATGATTACAATTGATTCATTCATATTCAATTTACCTCTTTTCTTTTTCTTTTATCTTTCCTTATTGTTATTATAATTATCATCATTGTGTTATAGGCTCAAAGACTTACAAGGTTCCACGTCGTCCCTTTGAGAAGGAACGTATGGACCAAGAACTTCGATTGATTGGTGATTATGGATTGAGAAACAAACGCGAGATTTGGCGTGTGGCTTATACATTATCAAATATTCGAAGAGCCGCTCGTGAACTGTTAACATTAGATGACAAGGATCCTCGTAGACTTTTTGAAGGAAATGCATTGATTAGAAGACTTGTTAGAATTGGTGTGTTGGATGAATCTAAGATGAAACTTGATTACGTATTGGCTTTGAAAATTGAAGATTTCTTGGAAAGAAGACTACAAACCCAAGTCTATAAATCTGGTTTGGCCAAATCTATTCATCATGCACGTGTACTGATAAGACAGCGTCATATTCGGTATGTGTTGAAATTTAAATTTTATTTTATTTTTTTTTTGTAAGGAAACATACATACATACATATACTAATTTTTACTTGTTTTTTGGAAATAAAGTGTTGGAAAACAAATTGTCAATATTCCTAGTTTTATCGTCAGGTAGAAAAACCTATTTGATAATTTTTAATTTACTAATTGATTGATTAATTAATTAATTAATTAATTCATACAATTTATTCATACATTCATTAAATTTTTTCAAAAGGCTCGAATCCCAAAAACACATTGATTTTGCACTTACTTCACCTTATGGTAAATATTCTAAAAAAAAAAAACTTAATAATAATAGTAATAATAATAAGAAAATATAAATTTATAATTTTATATATAATCTTTTTTAAGGTGGTGGACGTCCTGGACGTGTAAAGAGAAAACGCTTACGATCAGCATCAAAAAGTAATATATATTTTTTTTTTAAAAAAAAAAAGTTTTCCTGATTGCTTTTAAATTGGATATCCACTAATTTTATTTTTATAAATAGCTAATGATGAAGAAGGAGAAGATGACGACGAATAAACAATTCAATCAACATTATTTAATATTAAATAAAATCATGTTATAAAAGTTATTTAATAATAAGGAAAAAATAAGTTTTAGATCAAATAAGTTTTTTTTATTTTCCCAAATAAATTCTAAATTCTTTTTGCTAATGATTTAAATTGTTCAATTCGTAACTTTCTTTCGTCATCTAATTTTTGTGTATAATTCCACAAGTCTATTGTTAATTCTTCTGCGCCAAAACTTAAAGCAATCAATCTTAAAAAGAAAAGTGTTAATTTTTAGCAAAGAAATATTTTTGAAATAAAATAAAATTCTATCAAATTATTTATTACCTCGCTAAAGTCATACGTAGCATAAAGTCTTCCGAAGATAAGAATAACTTATTGTCATTATTTGAAGATCTTTGACTTTGACGTTGACGTTGACTTAAGAAATCTTTTTGAATGTACTATATAGAGACATATCATAAAAAATAAAAGCGTCCGAGTAAATTTGTAAATAAATAATAAACAAACAATATATTATCTCAAAGAAAAAAAAGAATGTTTTACCTCTGAAACATTTTCAGGAATAGTATAATCAGAATACCTTTGAATACTAATGAAATTTCTGAACTTTAAAAGAACTTCTTCATCCTTTTCTTCTCCTTCAAATAAATTCAAGTTTGCTGTATCATCATCTTCAAATTTTAAATTCAGTGGAATGGTACAATCAAACTAATGAATAATGATAAAAATAAAAATAATTATTAGTAGCAATATTAGTATTATTGTTGTTGAAATAAAGAAAATTTCTAATTTAAAAGAGAAAACCTAACTGGTAATAATGATTTTGAATTTGATAAGGTTATGATTCCAATATCTGTCTCAAGTTCAAAGTTATAAAAAGGATAATTATATCGAAGTTTTTGATCATTAATTATTTCATTTAAAACTTGAAAATTATTAACTCCTAAAAAAAGTTTAATAAAATTAAAAAATTATAAATCATAAAAAATCAATTTAACATAAATAAAATAATTACCATTAGTGTTCAATTTCCCCTCATCCAAAACTGTCTCGTCAATTAAAAACCATGTTCCGTTACTAACTTGAAAGACACCAGAATCTAATACATGATCACTACGCGGATAATAATAGTTTGTATTGAGTGAGGATAGTGTAAGTGGGAGATCATGATATTTTGGCAGTAATGATGATAACATTGTTGCAATATTTTTAGCAAAATCATTGTCATGCTTAAGTTTTATATTTGGATGTTGTTGTTGTTCAGTGGATGTAACTTTGCATTTTGGTAAATTACTAATATTTAATACTAATTTGCCAACTAAAGAAATTCCATTGTGCCTACTAAATCTGGAATTAATAAACAAAAAAATTTTTGATTTTTAATTAATATTCATGAAATTTACAAATAATATTATGTATTTTGTGAATATTTACGTTCTGGATAGTAGTTGTAGCAAGACAAATTCTGCTACCAAAGCATCACCGTTAAATACGGAAGATATATATTGTATCAGAAACTTTCTTATTGACAATATATTGACTTTCAATTCTTTGATAGAATTGGGAGAAAAAAATTCAATAATTTTATATAATAATTAATTATTATTATTATTGTAATTAATGATTATTAGATGAATTACCTGGTGTTAAATGTGTAATAATATTTGACGATAAATTTGGATTTCCTGAAGGATGGAGATTTCTATAAAAAATTGCATGAATAGATGGAACTCTGATCAATTTTGTTGGATCATCAACATCAACACCCAATGAATTATCTTCTGGAATATTTCTATCAATATAAATAATCATAATATATTTTAACAGTAAAGTAATGGATAATAATAACGTTGTTGTTATTATTTTTAATATCGATATTATTGTTGTGACAATTATAATACCTTGGATGATTAAAAACTCCAATAAACTCTACTACATCTGTAACCTTTAACATATTTTCACTTTCATAAATCTAACAAAAAAATTTTTTAATTCTCCTCCATAATAAAATTTTCAAAGATTTCACAACTTCAATAATAAAATAAATACTTTGACTATGGCTCCAACATGATTTTCGTTAGGAAATGGAAATTTAGCAGAAACTTTTTTCATCTCATCATCACTCATCCTGTTATCTCTACTTGTCTTTTGATCATCACTATTATTCAAATTAAGATTTGCTGTAGATTCTAAAATTTCTATTTATTCCATAAAATATTTACATTTATAATTAAGATAATTGAGAAGATTTTCATTATAAAAAATGCTGCTACTTCAGCTATTATGTGTATTCTTAAAAAATCAAACCTTCTAGACTTGTGTCAATATGTTCTTCGTGTAAATTCTGATCTCTATAGTTGTATATTTATTTCATTAAAGAATAGTATATAAAATCTTTAAACGTATACATTTATCCATATATAAATATTATATTATAATTAAAGGATATTTTCTTAACCCAAGATGATTCTCCTGGTACAGAAACGCAATAATACAATTGTCTTTCATCAAATGAATTTGAAGACGACGATGATGAAGTATCAATAGTATCTGGATTATGAAATTCGCCGCCAATATCCTCATAATCCTAATGATAATAGTAATAATAAATTGTTATCGAGTAAGTTGAATAAAAATAACAATTTATAAAAATAAATATACATGTAAAATGTGACAAAGTAATGGTTTTCATACTTGTTCAAATTCGTCAGAATATTTACAGAACTTTGTTTTCTTTAAACAAACCAAAAAAATAATATATTATAATCATCAAATAAAGGATCTTTTGCATTTCTACTCTTTCTCTCTCTAGTTTACCTTATTACCATTTTGATCAATAATTTCAAATTTACTCATATAAATCTCATAATCAAAGTTGTTGTTTTGTACCATTGCACGAAAACGTACTAAAGAACATTCTGGAATTTTGTCTAAAGGTATATCATTCAATGAAGGTATCTTTACACACACACACACACATATATATATTTATTTATTTACAATATATTTAAGTTTAATGCATTTAATTATAAAATGAATAAATATTCGTATATTATTACTAACTTGTTTAAAATCTTCTTTAGATGTAAATTTATTTTCAAAATATTTTTGTAATTCTTGGTTATTATTTTCAACTATATGCAAGCAAGATCAGTAGCGAGTTAATATATCATTGTATAATATATGTCCACATGTTCTTGATATTAAAATAGTAACTTACCAAGAAAATGTTGAATAACATTCAACGGTTTAGAGATGCATTCTTTTGTGGTAAATGTTTTTGTTTGCATTTTATTATTTAAACTTAAAAGTCTCTTTTCAGAAAAAAACGCGTGAAAAAATACAATAAAAATACAATCGACGTTACACTAAAAATTAAATTCCAGAAACATAATAATAATACTGATACTAAATGCAAAAAATGTATGATATTGTGTATGTACATACTTATCTAACATGAATTGTCTTTTTTTTTGGCAGACCGAGAAAATTTAAAATGATTTATGAATGAATGAATGTCCTTTTTTTTAGCAGAATTAAAAATTAAAAATGTTTTAAAATGATTCTATATCTACAAATAAGTCTATCAAATAAATAAATTAATAAATACATGAACCTTTAAAATGAGTTTTTTACAGAAATAAATAATATATTACACCTAATTATGATGATGATGATGATTAAAATCTGGTAATGACAAATGACAATGATGATGCGACGTGATGACCGTGACGATGATAGTATGGCGGTGGTGATTGTGATTATGATGATGATGATGATGACGACGTATGGTGATGGTGAGTGATAAATTTAAAACAAGCAAAAATTTATAAATAAAGGGTATTGATTCATTTTAGAAACCTAAATTGTTCTTAATTTCCTTGACCATAATTAGGTCCAAACAATGGTATCAAAAATGCTTCATTTTTACCAATTGACTCAATTACCACTTTTTTTGTGAGGTCATAGGGTAACCAAGTACCTTGATATTTAATATTGCCACCAATTATAATGTGTCTTCGTGTACTCCAAGCCTGATCCCAACACTTTAATTTTTCCAAATTTCTCAATGTATTATTGAAATAACTTTTTAATGTATTAAGATGGACAAAACCACTCTCCTTGTCCCATCTTACATAAATATTGTCGTAACAATATTCATAAGCTAATTAATTTTAATGTTTTATTTGAAAAAAAAAAAAAGAGAATATATGTATATCATTATTAGTAAACGTTTATTACAAATGAAATATTTATCATATCATATCACAATACTTACCATGACTAATTCTACCATTTGCACGTTTATACTGAATAATTTTAACATCAATGCCTTTTATTGGATAAGGTGACCAATCGGTTCTATTTGTACCTGATATTTGATCTTGATCAGTTGTTATATCAGTTTTAAATTTTTTCACTGCCCTTGATGCTGAACCGTCAGCTTTGTTTGTTGTTTTTTGGCTGTCGTCTTTTCTTGATCTCTTCAATCTGCGACATGGCCAATCAAGTGCAAATAGTTTTAAATGTCGCGTACATCTTAAACATCTCATTGTATTTTTACTGGATGTAAACATATCATCACATATCTTGCACCATCTTCTTATTATTTTGGCTGCTTTATCGTTATCATTATCAACAGCAATTATAGCAGCATTAACAAAGTCAACGGCAGCGGTGACATTAGTGGTGGGAGCATCAGTGTTTGATATAATATTTTTTGAAGAATTTGATTGATCAGTGCCATGGGCTTTTTTTACCAAAATTTGATCTCCATTAAGAACTCTGACAAATGGCCAAGATATAGTTTGACTGCCATTACAAGAGTTGGATTCTGCATTTTTATTTACAATATTAACACTTTCCAAGATACTACTACTTCCAGTTTCAATTTCAGTTGAGATAGTACCAGGTGAAATTGCAAACTTCAAATTTGATTTTTTCGTATTAGGTTTATTATTAAAATGGTAAACGGTTTTGGTGTTCAGATCTTTGTTGACTTGTTGTAGATTCATTATACCCATGCGTCTTAGGAGAGTGGATGAATGAGCACTAAAAACATTTTTTGGAATTCGATGGATGATGTTGTTATAATTAGATCCTTGGTCAAAGGTAGAAGAGGAGGTAACTGCAACATTATTGGTCGTTATATCAGACAACAACATCATTGCAGCATAGTTAGAATTATTATCTTCAGCATCAGTTTTTGGAACATCATTATCGATGTCAATGCCAATAAGATTTACTTCATCTCTGTGATTACTAGTAACATCGTTCATTTTAAATCTTGGCATAGATATTTCCCTTTTTACAACAGGTGTTTCTAATTTATTATAATAAATAAATAATTAGTATAGTTATTGATTTAATGATCGTATCATATTACTATATTGTTGAGTTTAGTTGATAAAAAGCTTACCATCTTGTACTAAATTAGTGCGATTACGTGCACTACGACGCACTATTTTGCCTACTCCATAATCATATACAATTTTATTAATGGAGCCAATATTTTCTTCGTCTAGAATTGCTAATTCTGGTTTGTATCCACCTTTCACGAGACGTTCGCATGTAGCACATAAACATTCACAATTTCCTTCTCCAAAATAGTCATCATCATAGTATGAAGTAAGTTCTTCACCAACCTTAACGCTTCTGGTAAATTTAAATGAGATTTCACTCTGTCCACTTGCAATGAATGTAGTATTGGGTTTACAATCGTGCTGTTTTATGCAAAAGGCGAAGGAAATTTTGCAAAGTTCATGATTATTCAATAATAAATTATTAATGACAACAAAAAAATTTTTTTACAGAAAGTGAATCTTTTATGATAAATATATAAAAATAAAACAACAACTCACGTTCACAAATCGTGCTGGACCAAGTAACAAGCACATTACATCTTTTCTCTGAGACCATATTATGCTAAAATCCCTGCCACCATCTAATTTATTATCCTCTTCTTTTGTGAGAGGAACTAATGCACCAGTACATAGACGAAGTTCATCTCCTTCCTTAAAATCTTTTGTAGCAACTACACATGCTTCCCTTTTAGAAGATCCAAAATATCTTTTTGTTTCTGCTATCTCGTATCCTGAATTTGCCTGATACATTTGTAAATATCGTTTTGCGTGACTATTTTTGAAATAAAACAAATAAGATATAAAATGTTATACATATTTTGCATATGAAATTACTGGCAATAAAAATCATTTAAAAAACATATTACTTGACAAAAGTGAGCTCATCAGATTTCGACTTTACCGTGCTTTTAATAACCGGAATTCTTTATATATTAATGTTAAATTAAATACATTTCACAATTAAAAAATATACATATGTATGTACGAATGAAAGAATGAATGAACCATAATTATAAAATATACATGAAGTTCTTGGAGTGGCTGTTGGAAATACCGATTGAAAATTGTTTCTTACTCATCAAATTAAATATATCAATGAAATATTTACCTAAGCAATTCCTTGCAAGCTTGGTCTAAATTAACTTCTTCGATCACATTTTTCTTGATGATGCTATGAATTACATCTGAAGGAATGTCAACGATATTGTAATCAGGATTTAATTTGAATGTATGGAACCACAAAAAAAGACGGTCTATAAGAACGTCAGTTAGGATATCATCTATTGTTTCGAAAATTTTGTATGATGATGGGGAATTTTTTGCGAGCATTTTTTGTTCAATTAAAAAAATGAATGAAATTTTTATATTAATGAAAGTTCTAAGGTATGAAATGAAAATGATAAAAAAAGTATTTTGAATGGTACGGTACAAGCAAGTCATTTAGAAGCTGGGTTTTCTGCGCCACGTGGCTAATTTTGGAAAACGTATTAAATACATAATACTAATACAGTGCGATCATCTATAGTCAAAAAATTTTGAAATATCATGTGAAGATGTTGCGCCACTCGCCGAAATTTTTATGTCTTGCTTTATAAAGACCGTGACATTTATAGATGACTTGAACCATATATATACATACAGCGGATGCAGACACAGACACAGACTGTCCCGTCCGAGAGCTTTAAGTGTTTCAAAATAAAGTTTTGGATTGTACAAGAACAATATACTTGTATATAACACTATTATTATACAACCTATTAAAAAATATTCACAGTAAAGATACGTGAAAAGTCATTATATTTCGGAAAAGTATGGAATCCGCAAGGAATTTATTGTTAGTTATTAGTTATTATAATAATAAGTAATTCATACGTTTTACTAAAAAGGTACGGAATTGGCACCGATGGAATTGTATTAATACTAAAAAGTATTAGTATTAGTATGGAATTGGTAAAGACTAAATTTGTACTGAATTAGAAAATTTTATTTATTAATTAATAAATGTATCTTTGATGATTTAGTAATAAAAAAAAAACACATCTATACATATGAATAATATAATTAAAAACAAAGTTAATCTTTGAATTTGAACCTGGATCTAATATTTATAGGTTTAACAACACATGTTTGATCGCATAATTTAAATAATAAATTTTATTAAATGAATTAAATTTTCCTACTGTGCTGCGTTTTAAATTGGTGATAAATTATTTTGTTGTTGTTATTATTATTGCCGCTGATGATTTTATTACTATTATCAATGCTTTGTTTTTTTTAGATTTTCTGTTAACAGCATCCCATTTTATTATTATTATTTGTAAAAAAAAAAAAAATCAGTTTAGACATAACAAAGAAAATAATAGCGATTTGAATAAAAAATCAATTCTACTGCAATGCTGAACATTTTCTTTATTAAATATTCGATAAGCCAGCTTCCTTCTCCGCAATAAATATTTAGGTTTCTTTCATGGAACTGTTAATTAAGTTAACTAAAAGTCTGAAGTTACACAAAGATTCTATTGTTACCTTCCGAGTTATCTCGTTTAACAAAGCACCATCTAGTTTGGACTTCCTGACACCAAATAGTAACCTGACCTCTTCCTATATTATGTATTAAATAATTTGATAATAAATAAAACAAAACCAATCGTACTATACAAGTATATATTTTATTTACTACTTGGTAGGTCTTATATTGTTGTTTGTTAACGCTGAAGAGCTTAGAAATCTTTATAACAAGCAGGTAACCCAGAGTTTACTGGTTTATAGATCGTTGGTGGTTTATAATCAATAGTAACAGAACCTTTGCATGTTGTAATATATATACAACTCACTAAATTCGAGAGCTCTTAGTCTCTCTCTTTCAATACTTTTGTTAGGCGTTGGTTTATTAAAGCTAGCTTTGTTGTTGAAGACATTTATTATTTGCGTTATTGTTATTGTTGTTGTTGTTATTGCTATTACTATTACTATTGTTGTTGTTATTGTTGTTGTTGTCGTTATTGCTATTTTGTTATTTCTCAACATCAGATATTGAGAAAGCTATCGTGGCCGCGTAATCCTAAGGTTTAGCCAACATGACTTGACTAAAGTATTAATTCGTGATCCGTCAGTAAAGGAAAGGATCTACATAGCAATAGTCGTGTGACATATCCCTGAGGCTGTTTTTCTAAAATTTTTTTTTTAAAATAATCTATCACACAAATAAATTGTTTTTAAAAGAATAGTTTCTATTATATCATTGTCAAGATTGTGTGAGTGGTGGGAAAATTTGCACGAGTGCTGTATATAACAGGGCGAACAATGAAGAGTTAAACTTTAATGCACTTCGGCGTTCATGTTGGTGATCGTTCATTTTACCAACATATGATGATGCGTGTATACAGTATATTAATTAATATATAATTGTTAAACGTGCGTCAAATGATATTTTTCTTTGCGTAGGTAACTGTCGTTCAAATGATAGGTTTAGATTTGAGGAGCCTGACCGGTAGCATCTTTGCTTGGAGTTTTCTCTTCTCTTGCAAAGAGGAGACCAAAAAAAAGGAAAGTAGTATCAGCAAAGCTATTTCATCATGGAGGGGAACACCTAACAAATTGATGATCCCGTGTATATATACGGTTTCAAATGGCGGGTATTCGGCTGTAACTGTAGAAACAAAATCGTCTGCGATCTTCTCGGTAGCGGAGGAACTCTTCGTGGGAAAGAAATTATCTATGGCGAAATTAAGTGGTCTTACCCCAGCTCAGCACAAAGCAAAGCCTCAACAATTGAAAGAATAATGATTTGGACAACTGATCATCAGCAAAAAAAAAAATCAACATTGTCAATTTCATCGTCGTAATTCTCAGTACCGTTGAACGCAACATTGTCATCATCAAACTCGTCATGCAGCTCGTCGAACAAAAGGCCATTACAAGCAAATGCGATAAGGAAGAAGCAGCTAACAAAAAACGTGCCTTGATACTTCTAAATGTATCGAGATCAGAAACATCAATCAATGCGATGGATCAGATGAACAACAGGGGCAAAGCGCCAATGTAGATAAAGAAGATCTTTCGGTTGAAAACCATGGGGAGAATGTAGAGGTTCAGGATATGGATCGCGATATTGACAAAGAAGCTTGCTTGAATCAGTTTATTTTTATTTTTTAAATAAACATGATTCGTTTTTTGAATGAAGGATTTGATGATTGTTATTGAAAGGTGGTAAATTAACAAATATTTGGTCTGAGCTACACGTTGACACAAGTTAACCCCTCCTTTGTTTGCCAAATAAATTATTGAATAAAAAAAAAAGGTCTTTGAAAAAAAAGTTGTGTGTTTGAGATTAATCGACTATCATTTACTTGCAAACAAAAAAAAATTAAATTTGAGTTATTACAAATATACTTAACTTCTTAATATAATATTCATTTGATAGTCATGAATTATCGGTCTTTGTACCTTCAAGTTTTTATCTTTGCGATCTGTTTAGGATCCCACACTTTCAATGTATACTAATCGAAACGAATAAATACATTTGTACTTCGATTTTTACTGTTTAAAGGTGGACTAAGGTGACCTTGCTGAATACAGAAGATTGAGTTGCCTGAGTCAAAAAGGTTTAAGGGAAATCAGCTAAGCGTTGATTAGTGTTGGTACATTTCTCATTGAGATCAATAAAAAAAATTTTTTGAATTGATCGGCCAAGATATCACTTGTATATATCATTCGTAAGTTCGAGTTTTATCTTGATTTCCTGGACGTTGTGGTCGAATCTGGAAGGTTGAGCGAGTTTCTTGCACCAAATGGCCTGAGAGAAATATCTTTATGTTGTTGGTGTTGCGAAAAAATGCGGGAACAGCCCATACTTGTTAATTTTGGGGACATTATTTAGAGATACCTTTTTTAGGATTTAATTGTAACCGAAACAAAATTTTGAAAAAAAAAAATAAAATGAATTCAATATTTGAAAAATATTTTAATGAGAACAAAAGATTATTAAATACAGAAGATTTTTATGATGTACAGTCCCTTGAAAAAAGTATCGCTTCACCTGATGATCGACGAAAATAATTGGATAACTTCTGTGATATAAAAAGTCATGATTTTACTAACCAAGTCGATGTTGTGTAATAACAAAAAAATCATTTTCATAATGATTTCTATAACATATTCAAGTTTCACAACACACAATTAATTATTGGTAATTTTATGATCTTTAAAAGACAAAAAAAAAATTTCCGGAAATTTTCAAAAAAACTTGAGATTAGAGCCAACTTTAGATGACATGTTTTAACACATTTTGAGAGCTTAGTAAATGTTGTTTCTTTTATCTTCAAATGTATACTTATGAAATCTCACAATTAATTGTCGGATATTGGTCAAGTATCGAACTGAAACGTAAAAATAATTTTTATGAAGTTTACTAGCTATTTGCACAATATTTTACATATTAACTTGTAATAAAATATACACTAAAAGAATCAAAAAAAGATAGAGAATTTGGTTATTTATTAGTATTTTGTCGGGTTTCCTTTAGAATTAATTACAGCTGCAACTCTTCTTGGCATAGAATTAACTAAATTTTGTAAAAAATTACGGTCAAGCTTCTCCCACTCTTCATTTAAATAAATAGATAATCCTTCAATATTTTTTGGATGTGGTTTTCGATTATGAACTGCCTTTTCTAAATAATCCCAAACATGTTCAATTGGGTTGAGATCAGGACTCTGGGCAGGCCAAGGAAGAGAAGAAATTAAATTATCTTCTTTCCATTTAAGCACCGCCTTTGCAGTATGAACCGGTGCATTATCATCTTGAAATATATTTAAATCAGTTCCTAATTCGTTCATAAAAGGTAATAAATAATTTTCTAAAAGCTCTTGATATTTTTTACCAGTTATTTTACCTTCTAATATTACCAAGGGTCCTGGTTGATTGTTCACAAAACAACCCCACACCATTATTCCTCCCCCACCATGTTTAAAAGTAGGAATAAGACAGTCAACATCATACTTTTCTTTTGGAACTCTCCAAACTCTCTGCCGTCCATCAGAATGATGCAAGTTGAATTTTGATTCATCACTCCAAATAATATTACTCCAGTCATCAACGTTCCAATTTTTTCTTTCTCTGCACCAACTAAATCGTTTTTTTCGATTAACTTCAGAAACAAAAGGTTTCCTCAATGCAGCTCGACTATAATATCCTTCTTCATGGAGATAGTTACGAATTGTTCGATCACAAATAGGATTGTCTGTGGTTTCATTTAATATGTTAGTTATCTCTCTAGCAGGAGTAAAACGATTTTTTATAACAATTCTTTTTAAAGTCCTAGAGTCTCGATCTGTTAAACTTTTTGGTCTTCCACTTCTAGATAAAACGGTAATTTGACCTTTTTCACGATATGCTTTTATTGCACGCTGTACTTGTGTTTGAGTACGACCAACAGCATTTGCTATTTCTCGAGTTGTTTGACCAGCTTCCCAACGACCAATTATTCTTCCTCTTTCAAAGTCAGTTAATTGAGTGTTTTCAGTATTTTGTGTATTTATTTCTGTAAGAGTCATTGTGTTGTTGATTAAAAATAAGTTAAAAAACGTAACAGTTTTAGTTAAAAACGAATAGCAATATTTGCAGAAAAAAAAATTTTTAAATGTAACACATTTATTTTTTTTAGTCGTTTTTACGTTTCAGTTCGATACTTGACCAATATCCGACAATTAATTGTGAGATTTCATAAGTATACATTTGAAGATAAAAGAAACAACATTTACTAAGCTCTCAAAATGTGTTAAAACATGTCATCTAAAGTTGGCTCTAATCTCAAGTTTTTTTGAAAATTTCCGGAAATTTTTTTTTTGTCTTTTAAAGATCATAAAATTACCAATAATTAATTGTGTGTTGTGAAACTTGAATATGTTATAGAAATCATTATGAAAATGATTTTTTTGTTATTACACAACATCGACTTGGTTAGTAAAATCATGACTTTTTATATCACAGAAGTTATCCAATTATTTTCGTCGATCATCAGGTGAAGCGATACTTTTTTCAAGGGACTGTATTAAAATAAAAAATTCTCTGTAACAATGTGGATTAAGCATTCTTTGTTAAGTATTTAATTTTTTTTTACTTGCTTCAGGTAAAGTGGTGTTTTTTTTACGAGAAGTTTTGGCATTAATTGAACATCTTTATAAAAATATTTAAAGTAAAGGTATTTTATATTGGGAACCGTTCTGTTAATTGATTGGCTAATTTATGACAAATGACAAATGACTGATGATCATAGTATATGACCATTGGTCATAATAGTCATATGACCAGGTCATTTACAACAAATGACAAATGACCGATGACTGCATGTCATATGACTAAATGACTTGGTCATTTGTCATAAAGGGTATATGACCTTGTCATATGCCAACACTGGTAGCGAAGATTGGGCAATTAGATATTATGACAATAATCAATATGCTTATGTGGATATTATTAATAATCAAATAAAGTAGTATGGAAAGAAGTTGGGTTGTTAGAAGCAAATGGTAGTAGTATCTCTTCTTCAAATATAATTATTAGTTTTTCAACATATAAAGGAAGTCATTAAATTTTTTTTTTTTATTTATAATTATATTTATTATATTTAATAAATTAAAAAACATTAATAATTATAATAATAATTATACTTAATATAAAAGATATTTATATAACCAATTTCTATGTTTATTATGTTTATTTTAATTTATTTTAATTTTTCTAATATTTTTACTAATTGTTGGTACATGTAAACTCGATAAGTCGGACATGGTGGGGAGGACTCATCTGTCCGACTTATCAAGAAATCTGACTTATCAAATTTCATAATTTTTTTTTATTTATATATGTAATAAGTGATACAAACTCTTTATAAAAATGATATACTAAAATATTATGAAATAACATATACATAGAATTATTTTTTGTAAAAACTTTCCAAGGTAAGTTGTTTTAGAGAGGCATTTTGCTTTCTTCTAATCTGATGCTGCAGGTTTTTCATTCCCGAGATTAATGAATTATTTATTTTTATATCTGCATTTTGCTGCAAATAATTAAATATATTTTGAATGCTATCCAACGTAACTGTATTTGATATTGGATTACCTATATCTTCTCCCTCCTCTTCTTCTTCTGGTGCCTCTTGTACTGCAGCAATTATCTCTTCTTCATCAACTACTTCAGCAATTTCTATTCTATCATCAATATTAATATAATTATTTTCCATGATATCAATATTCATTTGACTGATAAGTAATTGGACTGCATTTTCTTCACTCTCTAATTCATTTTCTAATTCATTTGGTTCTTCATACATTTCTTCTTCATACATTTCTTCAAGTAAAATACCTGTTCTTTGCCAACAACGGTATATTGTATCATCAGTAACACTATTCCATGCTTGTGCAGTCCAATTAATTGCATTCAAAATATTCAACTTAGGGATCTCAATATCAAGTTCTTGATGTTCATCGAATGCTTGAATTCTGTCTTCACATAATAATTTCCTATAATGAGCCTAATATAGAAAAAATAAAAAGGTAAATTTTTTTATTTAAACAGGAAAGAAAATTTTTTTATTTGAAAAAAAAGTAATTACTTTGAATGATCTTATTATACCCTGATCAAGTGGTTGAAGATATGAAGTTGTATTTGGTGGAAGAAAATGCAGTCTAACATTACTCAATTCCTCAGCTTCCAATTGATGTGATGAAACATTATCTACTAATAATAAAACGTTTTTTTGTCTTTTTTGCATTTCTTTATTAAATTGCCTGATCCATGTTTGGAAAATGGAACGTTGCATCCATGATGAATTGTTCCAGTAATACCATACAGGGAGTGTTTTTTTATCAATATTGTGAATACAGCGTGGATTTTTATATTTATAAATAAATACTGGAGGTAATTTATGAGTTCCAGTTACATTGCACGTAAGCATTATAGTGACTCTATCTTTTGGTTTCTTTAATCCAGTAATAGGTCCACTAGCAAGAGATTTATGGGGTTCTAATTTCCAGTAGAGACCAGTTTCATCCGCATTGTATACATCTTCTAAATCATACTGTGAAATTACAGATTGTAACTCACTTCTGAATGTAGGCAATTCATTAATTGGTGCACTAGCTGCCTCACCTAATTTGTAGTATTCTTTAATATTATTCCTTCTTTTAAAATCCGTAATCCATCCCTATTGTTTAAAAATAATAGATATTTAAGTAACTAGTTATTATAACTACATAACTACACATTACATTCAAAAGAAATTGATACTTTCTTGTGATGATTTAAAATTGGAAATATTTAGCCTTTGAGCAAACTGTGTTGCCTTTTGACTCAAGATTGCACCAGTTATTGTATGGTTAGCCTCATTGGCAAGATTCACCCAAATTGCCAATGCTTCTTCTAACTGTGGCCAATCACCTCCATGACTGCGTTTTTTATTGGCATCAATAGAACTTTCAGTAATTGCAAGCCATTTCTCTTTTTCTCCGAGAACATCTCCTACAGTTGACTTACCAATACCAAATTTTTTACCAATCTCTTCATATGTTTTTGTTGGATTGTTGATTTTATATTCACATAATTCTTTTTTTTGAACATTGGTAAGAGTAACTAATTTTCTTCCTTTTTTGCTTCCGAATTTACTAGATGTATCCATAATTATAGTTTTAATTTTAATTTTTAATTTTATAAATTTGCAAGTTATTATTGATTTGTATATTGATCTTTTATTAGAAATTCAGAAGGTCGAAAAGTCAATCTTTTTATACATATTTCAGAACATAATTAAAATATATATAAATATACTGATTTGCAATACAGCATTCTTTCTAGATCAAAATGATGTAGTCAATGATACAACTTATGATATAATTTTATGAGTTAAAAATATAATTGTATTGTTTATGATACGTATTTCTTTCAAAATTATCAAGTGAGATAATAAATGATGTAGTCAATGATACAACTTATGATATAATTTATGGGTTAAAAATATAATTGTATTGTTATGATACATTTTTCTTTCAAAATTATCAAGTGAGATAATAAATGATATAATCAATGATATATATCCATAATTTATGAGTTAAAAATATAATGTATTGTTTTTGATACAAACGAGAATGTTCTTCTTCTTTCTAAATAATCAAATGAGATAATAATTAGCCAGTCAGCCAGCCAGCCGGTTAGTTACCTTGTCAGCAGAAACGCGAACGGTTTTACCAGCAGAATCTTTCATAAATTTGACTTCACCTTGAAGTTGCATCCTAACTTTAACAGTGTCAAAAGGTAAAGTAAAAATAACAGCCATGCTAGGAGCCAAAGCACTTAAAGCAAAATTTTCAAGTTGAGAAATATTTTTCTGTGGTGCAAGGGTTTTAAGTGGTGGAGCGGAAGAAAGAGAATTGTTTTTTTTTATATTCATTGAGGACATTTTTTTTTTTTTTTTGAAGAAAATTTAAAGATTTTGTGTGTTGTGTATGTGTGTTGCTATGAATAATTTTTTAGCAAAAAAATTTTTGTACAATTTATATAATGGGTTATTAATTTGATGATGTCAATGTTGATTTTGTGAGAGTGTGGATAAACTTTTAATACTTTGATATTATTGTCAGATGAAGACGGTGTTTGCCGTCTTGGTATTATTACTATCAGTGTTGGTGTTGTTGTTAATTCTTTAACTTTTATTCTATTTTTACGAAACATATAAATAAAGAGATGATTGATGATGATGTGATGATGGTGATTTATTATATAAAATGGGAGAATAGTAGAGTATATATATGGAGAATAGTAATATAGTAATATGATGATGAAAAAAAAAAAATCAAACAATTTTTTTTAAAAACAATTTCTTGAAAAAAAAAATTTTTCAAGAGTTTAAATAACTTTTAAAATAAAGTGGCTCAATAAAAAAAAATTTTTTTTTTTTTGATTAAAAAAAAATAATAATTAATATAAATAATAGAAATTATTGTTTAATTTTAATTTAAATTGATAAAAACGACTACTAAGACATGACTTTTATTATACAGCTCCGTAAATTGCCGAAATTTATTTAACCTGGGTTGCATTATATTTTATTTATTTACTTATTTTTTATATTAACACACGATTAATATAACAATAAAAAACTTATACAAAAGTGGATGGTTTTACTTTTCTCTCGCTAAACTTTTTTATTGCGTTTGTTTCGTCATAATAATCTCAACTTTTCTCCATTCCAAAAGAAAACTTGGGACGTTTGAAAATTATTGAATTTTGTCCTCAAATATCTCTTTTATTAAAATCATACGATAATGATGATGACTTTTTTTTACAATTGACCAAAATTACTATAATAATAATAATAAGGAAAATATTTTCTTGTAGATCTTTTTGATATATTCCGCATTTGTTAAATTGTATTAGTATTATTACATTTATATTTATGTGTACAACCAAACATTCTTCTCACACACCACTTTTTTTTTTTTTTTTTTTTTTAACAGACAGTTAACGAAATTCCGTCTCCAGTTAGAAAAGTTTTTGCTTCTCAATAAACCATAAACAAATTCATACAATATATGCCGGGATTACTCGGATGTAAACTATTTTTAAATTTATTATTGTGATTTCGTTCACTTCTATTTAAAAAAAAAAACTAGATTTTATTTGTGTGGATAAACATATCAATTAATGAATGAATGAGTGAATGCACGCACATATACACGACGATTAGATTTTTGTTTTTTAAAATTTTGTTTATTGTTATTATTATTTATAAATCCGGTGACAATTCGAAATAAAGACAGGATAGTAATAGGAGAGGAAAAACAAAGAAAGAGCGAACGAACGACAAGTAAACAAACATGCACAAAAAAAATAATTGACAAATGACAAAAATACCTGTGTTTTCGTGTTTAATTAAAATAATAAATAAGAAAAAAAAGAAGGAAAGAAGGAGTGTATTGACAACATACATATTTTTAAGAAAAGATAATGCAATAAAATCGTTTCTCACAATTAAAACTGATAACTTTATAATTATTTATATTTAAAAATCCCAGATCTCGATATTTACTTAATACATCTAGTAAATATTAGATTAAAAGGTCTGGGTCCTTT